ATGATCTCTGTGAAGACCCCCTATGGGAAATAGTACAAATAATGTACATGACCCTCAATCTTACCAACGCTAATCTGACCTCGTCGTGTTGGTTATGTTACAATATATGGCCCCCATTCTATGAAGGTATAGAACTCAACACCTCGCTTGTCACCTCCACTGTGGATAACTCGTTCCAGTGTCTGTGGGATCTCAAAGTCCAAGGTCTCACTCTTCAACAGGTTAATGGCAGGGGTACTTGTCTGGGAACTGCCTCTCACTCCACGCACACCCTTTGTAGTTTACATGTCCAGACTACATCCTGGAAACAACAAATACAATGGCTTATCCCTGCAGAAGGGGTTTGGTGAGTCTGTTCTCAGGGTGGTCTTGCTCACTGTCTACCAAGGTGTTGGCTGTCTCTCCGGATTCTTGTGTCATAATCACTGTTGTACCTCGCATATTTTACCATCCTGAGGGAACCTTCTATGCCTCTTGGCTTGCAGGCATTCATGCCAGGGCCATATGAGAGCCTTTCACAGCCCTCACTATAGCCACTCTGTTTGGCCTAGGAATTGCTGGTGTGGGGACCGGAACGGCCTCCCTGATGACTTAAAGACATGGTTTGACCTCCCTGAGAGCAGCCATAGACCAGGATTTAGAAAGAATTGAGACTTCCATCTCACACCTTGAAAAATCCCTTACCTCGTTGTTGGAGTTAGCATTGCAAAATAGACGTGGGTTAGACTTACTGTTTCTCCAACAAGGTGGATTCTGTGCTGCCCTAAGTGAAGAATGTTGCTTTTATGCTGATCATATGGCTGTGGCCCGGGACTCCATGGCTAAACTCAGAGAAGCGCTCGCCAAGCATAAACGAGAGTGTGAGCTGCAGGAGGAATAATTTGAGTCATGGTTTCATCTTTCCCCTTGGCTGCTCACCTTACTCTCTACTTTGGCAGGCCCCTTCGTGGTACTCCTGCTATTGCTCACCGTTGAGCCTTGCATCCTCAACAGGTTGGTGGCATTCATTAAGGAGCGCATGAGCACAGTCCAACTTATGGTGCTCAGAGACCGGTATCTTGGGATTCCAACATCTGGACCCAACTAGGATAATACCTCCTTCTGATCAGAAAAAGGGGAATGTTAAGACCCTCTGCCTAGGCCCCTCTGTCTGGGTCTCTAACTCACCTTGGGCCCAGAAAGAAGGGCAGGTAGATAGCATTCCTGGTGTCAGCTCCTGGAACCGGTTGAAACTAGACCCTGATATCAGCTCCTGACTCATAACTGAGACATCTGTTCTTAGAAACCCGTCCTTGAGTGCTGTAAAGTTTGTTACTCTTTGAATTTGCACAGGCTATGACATATGTAATGGCCGATAAGGGCCTATATATTCT